GTCAGGACTTTCAGATTTAAAACTGTGGCATGTGAGGTCTCAGAGTAACTCACTAAAATATAATGTCCTCTACAGAAGACAAAAGTCTATGCCTGGATCCCAGGAGGATATTCAGCTAAAATGTTAACACCACACACTAAACGTTTAATGAATATTGAGTAGAAAAAGAAAAGTCTAACAGAAAAACATAGAAACTTATCACAAAATCCACATCTGAGAAAGGAACGCATTTGTACTACATTTTCTAGCCCCGGGCAACACTGTCACAACAAAACCCAGCAACACCCGTTCAAAGAGAAGGACGAGCTATCGATGCGCTAGCCAATCGTCGGCGTCTACATGAAAACCAGCAGCCAATGAGAACCGAGAATTTTGGGCGGAATATTTGAACGCTGCATCTTCGAGCGATCCTATTGGTCCGTTAGCCTGTCAATATTTTAAGACACAGAACGCTTTAAAACTACGCTCGTATGTTTTAAAAACACGATCAATTTGAAACAGTTATGGCATAACGATTAAACAATATAAAATACACCTAATTAAACATAGAAATTATAAAAGTAGCCGTTCTAAAACGCATAAAACTACCTAAACAGAGCGACTTTCGTTTCTTACGTGACAGACCCAGGGGGCGGAGCCACATTCAACATCAACAAAAGGAAAGAGAAGCAGCGAAAACAGACGAAAGATTCTCGGATACACAAACACAATATGTCCTTTTAACATCCCTGGTAATGTACCTTTATTTAACCTTCTTTAAGATATTGGTTTCCTTTTTAAACGTCTGTCTAGATTAACGGTCACCGTTTAAATGTTTTGGTCGTATTTCTTTTTCCTGAAAATGGTTTTGATGTTTGGTTATGCTGGTATTTAACGAGATTTTTGACTAAGTAACGTTAATCCGTATATTTTATATCATATGACATTTTATCGATCGTTTGTGTGTCACTAACGTTAATGAAAATTATATTTATTTTACTGGAATGACCGAATCCCTTGTTATTTTTGGTCGTCTTTGAGGTTTACGTTCAAAGCCAGTAACGTTACATTTATAATTTTAAGTGCATGTTTAACTTTAATTTAAGTGAATAATGTTTCAGCTCCCGCTTTTATTATACTGTAATTGACAAAAACGTCGTCTATTATTTAATGTCGAAAACAAACTGCACAGAAGATTTAAACCCCTCCCCCTCTGGTCGAGGTATTTTCCAGCTGAAGGATCAACGGGACTCCACTGGATCACATTCACTTTCGATCCGGTTTTAACCTTATCATTTTGGTCAACGAGTCGATTTCACATTTATTTGTCAATCTCAGTCTGAATGCGTCGGATTTATTTGTTTGGATGTCCTTTAAGAAGGCGTTAACCAGCGAAACCCGACACCGAGGCTCAGCTGAGAGGAGGGGGCTGGGCAAAACCTTGACCCACCGCCCTGTGTTACCAGGATTTACTTAACTCTTTTATGCCTTTTTAAAGGTGTTTTGACAACCCAGCCAAAGTGAAAATATGGAGGCCATCAAACTGATGAAGGAGCTGAAGAGCAATTTGGATCAGGAGGTTCATTATCTACCAAAGGAAACGGGTCTCAGTTTGATCGAATCCACACAAGAGGTAAACTAGTTTGACAAACTCCTGTGAAAATACATATACAAACTTTATTTGAGAACATATACAACAGTTCTGGAATTTCGCAATGTATTTCTGTACATTATAAAAAGTATTTTTACAGTATACAATGTACAAAACAATATTTGGGTCCAAATGGGTCACTGGTTTTAAACTTTAAATATAACTTATTTCTCCTCATCCACACAGAACGGTAATGGAGTTTCAGCCAAATGTCGAGATGCTCGAGTGGAAGATCTCTGGAGCTTGACCAGTTTCTTCGGTTACAGCACTCAGACCTTTGTACTAGCCGTTAACCTGCTGGACAGGTTTATAGCTATGATGAAGGTAATCAATTAGTTATAAGTCAATCCATCTGATTAACAAGTATTAGAACATGTTATAACCAATCGCTTGTGTGTTCCTAAAGGTTCAGCCCAGGTATTTGGCCTGCATCAGCATCGGTTGCCTTCACATCGCCGCCCGAGCAACCGAAGAAGAGTGCAATGTTTCGTCTAGCCATGAGCTCATTCGCATCAGCCAGTGCAAGTTCACCGTTTCAGACCTCAGCCGAATGGAGAAGATAATTTTGGAGAAGCTCAACTTCCAGTTAAAAGCCGTCACAGCCTTAACCTTCCTGCATTTGTACCACACCATTGCACTTTCGCACACGTCCAACAGGTAAGAACAAGTGGCATTATCAAACTACCTAAAGGTTCAGCCCAGGTATTTGGCCTGCATCAGCATCGGTTGCCTTCACATCGCCGCCCGAGCAACCGAAGAAGAGTGCAATGTTTCGTCTAGCCATGAGCTCATTCGCATCAGCCAGTGCAAGTTCACCGTCTCAGACCTCAGCCGAATGGAGAAGATCATTTTGGAGAAGCTCAACTTCCAGTTAAAAGCCGTCACAGCCTTAACCTTTCTGCATTTGTACCACACCATTGCACTTTCGCACACGTCCAACAGGTAAGAACAAGTGGCATTATCAAACTTCAGAGCCACAAACTTTAACATGCAGGCTTGGCATTTGAAACATTGACTTGTAAAGGTTGATAAACAGAGCTTGCAAGCGGACTTTGAGCATTCTGCTGTATATGGGTGACCGTGACGGCAGTCATGCATCAGAAACTAGGAGATTATCTTCTGACTAGACACAATGGCTTCTTCAATGTCAAACAGCTCGGCTAATAAAATCTCACTAATGCTTTCTTCTCCTTTTCAGAAAAGACGTCCTGAATCTTGACAAACTGGAGGCCCAGCTGAAAGCCTGCCTATGCAGAATTGTTTTCTCCAAAGCAAAAGTAAGAACAACTTAAACAGACAGATTCTTGAAGCAAGTTAAATGGAAATTTGAATTCTGATGAATTGTCGCTCTTTTTTTTAAATTTTTTTTTAGCCTTCGGTGCTCGCTTTGTCGCTCTTGATGCTTGAGATCGAGGCCTTACAGTCTGTGGACCTGCTAGAAATCGCCCAGCGCATACAAACACACTTGAAGGTAAGAATTCATGAGTAGATCAACATTTTTACACGCCCTGAACATCAATAAAAACCTTTTAAAAGTTAGGAAATCAAGTTAAATGTCTCAGACTGCTCTGTGACAAATCCAAAGCTCTTAACCCAGTCCTATCGCCAACAGGCTATTGGTTTACACATGTCGGTCCCATCCGAAATGAAGCTGGCTCTGTGCCCTGTCCTTGTGTAAGCAGGTGTCTAATGCAGCAGTGTCTGTTTGCAGATCTCGAAGGCTGACCTGGTGCACTGGCGAGGCCTGGTAGGCCAGTGTATGAGGGAATACTCCTCTCCAGAATGTGCCAAACCTGACCACAAGAAACTGGTGTGGATCGTCTCGCGGAGGACAGCACAGAACCTGCACAGCAGCTACCGCAGCGTCCCCGAGCTGCCCACCATCCCAGAGTGCGCATGGGACGAGAGCGAGAGGTAAACACAGCTCACCTGAGGAAAAACACAGGTGTTAGGATGTCACACTCGTAGCAAACAGTCAATAGAGGAAGACGGGAAAGGAATATTCCGGGTTAATCGCATAAAGATGATTTTAGTCAAGCTTTGATTACCACAGAAAATCATTTAGACTTGTCATTCAGTTTGTGAAACCAAACAAAAATCAGTTAGGTTTGCAATGGATTTCTATGGGGCAAATGTACAAAATTGCAAATGCAATTTTTATTTAAATACTAAAATTATTCAAACTGAAATTAAAATAAAGCTAAATAGAAACGTATAATAAAAATGTCTAAAATTAAACTTTACTTAATTATAAATGAAAACAGAAAATGTAAAAAAAAAAAAAAAAAGCTAATTCAAAATAAATTCTATAATAGTATAGAAATAAAACTAAAATAACATTGGTACCTAGAATATTCTTTTATAAACTCATAAGGAGCTCACAATTTTTTTTTTTTTTAAACGACAAAAGCACAAATTTACTCAAATTAAAACAAAAGCCAATTCAAAATATTAATAAATACTATAATATATTAAATAGTACTAAAATAACACTGGAACTCAGAATATGGTTTCATAAGCTCATAAGGAACTAACCAAAATCAGTCACATCATCTCTCACATTACAGTGATTATATTTTCATATTCTACTGATAACAACAACAACTATCTGGAAATAGCAGCAAACAAATTTTGGAATAATTTATGTAAAGTACGCCTGTCAATTTTTCCATCACAACTTCTGGTTTCAGTTCCATCACAGTTTTTCCCCATCACATGACATGTCTTAACCTTGGCATTTTACTGACACACACCACTTACGTCACAGCCTCGTCAGCACAGCGCCCCACCCAGGTGTCCTTACAGTGCTACTTGATAACTACGAATAGTTAGTCACGTCCTAGCAACCAATCCGAGAGTGGTTACTCGCCAAGAGCAACAAGAGTCATTCCTGAGGCTCACCAACACAGCTGATTACAAGCCGAAAATCCAGACAGGACGTACTGCTTTGAGATGGCTAATGGGTTAGATATGCAAACACCTCAAACTAGGCGCAGCAGTGGAATGTAGGTAGTGAATAATGACTATTTACAAACAGGTCACAGGTTGTGCAGCATCACCTGTGAGTAAGAGAAGGGTGTGCGAGGTGGGGTCGGTTAGACAAAAGCACAAAACAAGATCGGACATCTGACAGTGTTTTTTTTTTTCAATTTCGACAGTGATATTCCAGGTTAACCACATACATGATTTCAGTCGAGCTTCATTACCACAGATAATAATAGACTTGTCATTCAGTTACTATGTAGAATCATTCATATACTACTATTTTTTTTATTCTTTTTTTTTTATTACAAAAATTGAAATAAAAATATAATTAAATAGAAATATTATTAAAAAACTAAGTCCTAAAAATAAATAATTTAACACCAATAGAAATGTAAAAAAAGAAAAGAAAAACATAGTACTAAAATTTAAGTCCTAAAATGACTATCCGAAATAAAAACAAAACAAGTTAAGGATAAAACTGAAAATAAAGTAGAAATATTAAAAAATAAGTTTAAGTTCTTAAATGACTAACAAAAATACAATAAATAATTTTACATAAACAGAAATAAAAACAATGTTTAGTAAAATGACTACAACTAAAATAAAAATAGAAATATTAAATAAAAAAAACTGAAACACAATATTCTTTTATGAACTTGTAAGTACCTAACCAAAGTGACACAAATAAATAAATAGAATAGTCAAAATGAGAGTGCATCTGACTTTTTTTATTTCCTTTTATGACAGTGAGGATTCAAGCGAAGACCTGAGCTCTGGGGAAGAGAGTCTGAGCAGCTCGCTGGGCAGCGACGCAGAGGGACACTACTTCCCCTCGAACTTTCGCTCCCGTGCCCACAGACAGTAATACGCTGTAACCACTCGTCAAGGAGCACAACCGCCAATGGAGATGTGGCCTCCACGCTGATCTGAATGGCTCCCTTGTCATCTTCCAAGATGATGTCACAGACCTCTTCTGGCTGAAACCTAATAGCTATACAGCGAGGTGCCATTGTGCCTGGGTTCAACGAAACCACTGAGCCCAAAATATCAGAATTGTATTTTAAAACTCTTCTTTTATGGCTTTACAGAAAGCCAGTCCAGATACTGTAAACATCTCTCTTGATTACTTGTGTTAAGCTAAAAGTAAAATAATTCAGCACTGCACAACACTGGCAGCTAAAAACTAAAAAAAAAAAATGTAGCGTAGTGTTTATAGAAGTTGGTGCATGTTCGGATTTGTCAACATTCCAGGCGGCTCAATATGACATATCCAAGGTACACTAGACTGTTATAGACAACTTGAGATTTGTACTTTGGTGCTTCGCACAGTTTAGTAATATGATTGTAAGCGCGCGACAGCGGGAAAGCTGCGTGCCAGCAGAACTGCCGCCTCGGAGGTCAAATAGTTAAAGATTTAATGTGGTGCGCATGGTGTTCACAGAAAAACAGTGGATTGTTTATTTTTCGTGTGTGTGTGTGTGTGTGTGTGTGTGTGTGTGTGTGTGTGATGTTGTTAACCTACTTGCCAATTTAGTATAAGTTTCACTTTAGCCGATGTATGAAGACAAATACTGTATGTTGAAAATGTGCAACAACAACAAAAAAAAAAAGCCTAAAAACCTTATAAAATGTAAAAAAAATGTCAATTAAAAAAATGTACATTTGTATAATGTAAAAAAAAAAATGCATATACGTTCTGTATAGCATCTTGTAGATATTAACTTATTTATTGTTATTTTTGTCATGGTAAAAAAAAAAATTCACAATTAAAAAAAAAAGAAGCTATTTTCAAATTCACTCAGTCTTCTGTTTTGCTTAGTCAGGTTATCCTGAATCAGTTTTCTGTTCCCAAGTACCTCAACTATCCCGCAAAAGCAGAAAATGGAAAACAGACAGCAGATGTTGTAAATCGCCTCACTGCCGCAGGATATTTCACACAGCAACAGTAAGAGCCTTCGTCAACTACAACGTCATGATGTTATCAGCTGATTTAAACACATACAAATGAACAGTGCATGATGCAATTCTGCCCAGTGTTTTCTGCCCGATTTCACATTTTCCCCAAAAACAGGAACTCGTTCTTATGACAAACCAACAACCTGTGCATGTCTAGTCAGTCAAAGGCTGGAAACAATCTTTCTGTTCCCTTGTAGGAGCAGGTGGGCAAAAAGCCAGAAAAATACCACAGGATCCATTACATTACACACAATGCACTACGTACTGATGAAATTTTGAATGTGAACAACAGAAAAACCACACAGCAAGCATTTGAAGATGTTTTCGGATATGGATTTGGAAGCCAAAGTAATAAACTAAAAACAACAATTGGGATATTGACGTCATAATGCCTCGATTTTCTCTATAGCCATTATACAAGTGAGAAAAGCAAGCAAAATGCAACTATGCTAAAGACCACGAGCACGCTCTAATTGGTCCAAACAGTAAGCATTAGTTATTACAAACACAGAAACATTTGTGCAGTTCCTCACACACACTCTCACTACTGGCTCGAGTTTCTCGTTCAAACACATCCCGCCTCTGTACAGTACCCAAACATTCAACACCACGCCAAAAAGTAGGTCACTTGCCTTACAGCATTCCTTCTTTGGAGTCGGACTTTTAGAAGCCCATCCGAGATTTCTTCTTTGGATGGGAGGCCTGAGAGAGGCTTCTGAATTGGGGAGCTCTCTGGGAAGTCAAGGAGCGATGAGACAAAGGAGTCGGCGAAAAAAGGCCAACCTGAGATAAAGAATATCCACCAACCGGTGCGGAGTCGATATTTGGGATGTGGGAAGGGAACTAAGGTAAAACTCATTGCAGCGTTTCGATTGGACAGTTGGTGGCCGTGTGGAGGTGAGTTGAAGCAGGAGGTCCCAAATCCATCCCTACTGCAACACTAGGGGAGCCAGAGGTTGGTCGTACCAACCTGAAAGTAGAGATGAACAATGTATTAAAAATAATGTTTAAAAAAATTGCAATCATCTGCTGTGAGTACACATTTCATTTATACATCAAGACGAAATATGCAAAAACCTCATACACAAGTTATACACGGACATGTTTTTGATCATTCATGAAAATGGCACAAAATATGATCCAGATTAAACAAGCTCAAACACAATGAATCAAGGTCCAAAAACTTGTATTACTAGTTGAAACTTTCCGATGTTTTGACACATTTTGGTGTAGATCATTGTTCATTTCCGTTCTACTCGGTTTAGCGATCTGTTAAAATTATTTATCAGGATAACCATAAATAATTACCCTAACCCTAACCCACAATTTTAAATAACTATTTTCTATATTAATATATTTTTAAAATATAATTATTCCTGTGATCTGCAGCTGAATTTTCAGCATCATTACTCCAGTCTTCAGTGTCACATTATCCTTCAGAAATCATTCTAATATACTGATTTGCTGCTCAAGAAACATTTCTTATTGTTATTGTTGAAAAAAGTTGTGCTGTTTAATATTTTCAAAAGAACAGCATTTATTTAAAAATAGAAATCAGTAACATAATAAATGTCTTTACTTTGGACACATTTAATAAAATGTGTCCTTGTTGAATAAAAGTATTAATTTCTTTAAAAATAAAAATCTTACTGACCCTAAACTTTTGAACAATAACGTACAAATGGATACAATACAATTTATGCTAGTTTCAAGTCATTAATTTCTCATTAAACCAGCATTACACCTATGACAGTCGCCTTGGTTCAAGTGAGTCATTTTAATTTATCAGAAAGCAACTCCTTTTTAAAGTCAAAAAATTAAATGATCAGTTATCAGTATTGACCACAAATCGCTATAAATAATCATTTATCGGTATCAGCTCTGAAATTTCATATCAGCAAATCATTACCTGAATGGAAGACTGAGATTTTGATGAAGTCAAAAGGTCTTGATCAGGCCTCGAAGGAGATTTGAAAGGTTCTACCTCAGTCGACTGCTCATTTAAAAACCGTCTCAGTATGATGGGGCTCTTTCTGTGCATCTCAGGTTTGGCCCTCCATTCCTCCATGTCCGTAGCTTGCGAGTTCTCCAAAGTCTCGTCATCTGAACCCAGACACTGACTCCCCACCGATGACCAACCCGAGGCACTCTCTTGGTAACTCACAGATGAGGTGAAGTTTCCAGAAAGTGAGGTGCGACTGCGAGCTTTGACTTGCTTTTCTTTCCGGCGCTTTCGGCGAAGAGCCGCGATTTTCTTGTCCCGGACCTACAATAATGTACAGTATTTGAAAAATAATGTGTTTTTTGAACATTAAAGCATGTCAACATATTATGTTACACCAAATAATGATCTTTAAAAAAAGCATCATATGACCCCTTTAAAATATATTCAAATAGAAAACATTTTAAATTGCAATAATATTTCAGAATATTACAGTTTTTACTGTATTTTTGATCAAATAAACGCAGCCCTGGTGAGCAAAAGAGACATTATAATCAAAAACATTAAAAATCTTAACCTTAAACCTTATAACAGTAGTGAAAAATTAGAATACAATGGCATTTAATGATTACGCTATTCATATACAATTGTATTTGCGTACACAAATATAGTTCAAAGATTACCACAGAAATACCATGGTAGTGCCAAGGTACTTTTTGGTAGTCAAGATCAGATTTAATACATTCAGGAAATGTTCCACAGAATTAAAGATCAGATCTCTAGTTACACTGATAGCGAATAACAAAAAAAAGTTTCAGTGGTGGGTGTGTATAGAGTCAATGACAACTGATACAGATCATCATTCAAGGAAGCTCTGAATGATTGCCTGGAAAAACCACAGGGTGAAACCACTCCTTCAGGCTAATATCTGACCCAATCCCTCAGATGTTATGTGATATGTGACGGCGTTTACCTGGGTATTAATGAGGTGGTGATGGGCGTGGCTTTTACTCAGGTATTTTTGGCGAGTATCACTCGCTCTTCTGACATACAGGCTGCTGTCCTTCCGATCCAGAACAATGTGTGATTACTATCAGCACTCTGCATAGACAAAGATTAATAATAAATTGAGACCCACCTAAATAAAAACACTGAGTAACAAAGAGAAGAATAACAAAAGTGTTAAACTAAAGAATGTTCATTAAAGGTGGGGTAAGCGATTTCTGGTAGCCAATGTTGACATTTGAAATCACCAAAACAAACACGCCCCTACCCCAAAAGGGTCTCGCCCCTATTTTGATAGCTCCACCCCACACATATGTACGCAACCAAGGCAACGATTAGTTCTGTGAAACAAAGCAAAACCAATGTTACACTGTGTCTACACCAGACGCGAGTGCCGCGGCGCGACAAAATACTATAGAACTCATTATAATCAGTGATGCTGTCTACACCATAGATATATACACATATCTATGGTCTACACTGGCTGTGGCGCGGCATGACACGACAAATCCCCGACAGAAAACTGCTGCTGCGTTCTATTTATGACGTATTGACACAAATTTTAAATGATTTTCAGCGGTCGCTTTGTCGCGTCCAGTATGGTGTTACTCACCTATCAAGAAAAAACAAAGCAACCTCGGCGTCCGATCGCAGGCCTTCCGCTCCTTGAGTTCTCTCCAGCGCTGGAAAGCTGATCCGATATTTACACGGGTCCTACTTCTTGCCTTAAGCCTTCTTTTGTTCCGCAGACATTTTCCTCTTTTGTTTTTTATCCGCCATCTCTATCTTTCTGTCGCTCGGCTTGGCTAATGTCCGTCCTGTGCACTGAACGCTCTCTCCTCCACATCATGACTTGACACGCCCCTTGCTGCTGATTGGCTACAAGTTTGTTTTGCTAGTCGGCCCGAATCAGTTTTCTAAAGCGTTTTTGAAAAATCGCTTACCCCACCTTTAAATACACAAAACTGAAATAAATAGTAGTGGTACAAACTGGGGTAAATTCAGCTTACTCAAAGGCCTTTATTCACCCTATACATTTTACATTTAATTTCTTAAGGTACTAAAATCCTTATATTTCAAATATTGTATAATGATGATAATAATAATAACAACTCTAATACTTCTAATAATAAATCGTATTACTATTGTTATTATTACTGTTATTAATATTTAATTGTTAGTATTACCTCCTATTACTACTAATAACAATAGGTATTAATAATTAGATGATAAATATAAACACTAATAAAAAACACTGATACTTAAAAATAATAATAGTATTTTATAATGTTATCTAATTTTTATTAAGTCTTGTTATTATGAAAAATAAAATTGTTTAAAATATATAAGACTTAATATTAAATAAATATTAATAATGAGATTTTATAATATTATCTATTTATTGTTACTATTAAATCCTATTATTATGAACAATAAGATTTAATATAAATGTGATAGAGACTTATTAAATTTTTATTATTAGTTTTATCAAATTGTTAGGCTATAACATGTAATAATCTGTAATTTTACAGTGGACAAAAACCCTTGCATGATGCTGTTTCAACACTGATAAGAGTTGCTGGTTTGGCTATCGAAACAAACAAAATCTGATAAGGTGCTAGACGTTTATGGAGGACTCCGTTCTATATAGTAAATCCATAACGAAATTTTGTCCAATAATAAGAGGCGTCGCTTTACCCGTATGTCTGTAAGCTCCGCCCCTGTTCTGTCAGCATACACCATCACTCTCGGGTGACAGGAGAACTCACACCATCGCCATGGAGACTTAACATTGAAGTACAGGTTGGAATCCTCCACACGGAACTTTTGCAATCTGAAAGAGAACA